TACTCCTTGGGGCGCTTCAGGAGCTCGGGGGCCTCCTGTGACTCCTCATCCTGGTTTTTCCGCCGACACTTCTGCTGCTTTCTCGTCAGCGCCTCCTTTGTTTGCTTTTCCTGGGGAGGAAGGGGAAGGGAGCGCCTCGAAAGGCAGGCCGGGCCCCAGAGGCCCGCTCCCTCGGCCTCCTCCTCAGGAGGGCCCCCGCCCGGAAGACCCAGGCGCTCACCGCCTGCTTGGTGGACTTGCCGCCCGCCTTCAGCTCCTTCAGCTTTTTCTCCTGCTTCTCATACTGCTTCAGCAGTTCCTTCTGCTTCTGCTGGTACATCTTCTTGAAGGTCACTGGGGCAACAGGGAGGACGGGCATCAATGGCTGTCCCTCTCCCCAGCAGAGGGAGAACTAGGACGAGGGACAAGGGGGGTGGGCGTCACTGTCTAGAATTCTGAAAGGTTCAGCTTATCACCGCGTCCCTATGGGCCCTCCCTCTCAGGCCTTTCTCAAGGCACCATCCCTTTCCTCCCACCAGGTCCGCACACAACCCCACTTACTGTAATTGCCCCTATAGTAATGGAGCCGCTGGGCATCGAGATGGATGATGTCGGTGCAGACATCATCCAAGAAGCCCTGGTCATGGGAGACGATGAGCAGCGTCTTCCGCCAGCCCTGGAGGTAGCTGGGATTTAGAGAAGAGTGTGGAAATGTTACAGTGGCTAAATTAGGATTAAGTTAGGGAAACGAGACAGACGACAGGGGCAAGAAAAGAAGGAAAGCTGGTATGAGAGCTGTCAAGGGCAGGATGGGAACCAAAGATGCAAAGACTGTAATCAAGGGCAACTCACTTGTTGAGCCAAATAACAGCATTGAGGTCCAGGTGGTTGGTGGGCTCGTCCAACATCAGCAGCGTGGGCTCCATGAACAGTGCCCTAGAGGGTGGGGCAGCAGACTGTGGGGTTAGGGGGAGGAAGGTCCTTGCTCAGAGTGCCCAGACAAGCCTCTGCTGAGTGGAGCCTGAGACCACGACCACTCCTTCCCAGCCTCTTAGAGCAGTTCCCCTTTGGGAGACAGTTGAGAATATACTCCCAGGTAGAGGGAAAATCCCTGAGTCTGACAACGTGGATGATGAAGGAGAGAGAAGTTGGCCTTGAACCTCCTTACGGCCTTGGAAGAACAGAAAGGGAAGGACCCTGGTGGATGAAGGCTGGAAGGGAGGATGGTGAAGAGGGAAGCCCACCTGGCCAGGGAGACACGCATGCGCCAGCCCCCCGAGAACTTCTGTGTGGGCCGATTCTGCATTTCAGGGTCGAAGCCCAGACCAGCCAGGATCCGGCGGGCTTTGGCCTCTGCAGCAGCCGCCCCAGTAGCCCGCAACTCCTCATAGACCTGGGAGGAAGGGGAAGAGGACACATGTTTGGAAGTCCCGGGACCCCAGTCTCAGCCGTGTCCCCTGCGCCATCTCCTCTACCTTTTCCAGCCTCTCGGCAGCCGTGTCATCACCCTGCTCCAGCTGTCCCTGAAGCCGCCGCTCCTCTTCCAGCAGCTTCAGCCGCTTGGTGTCAGCTCGAAGAACAGCCTGCACAGCTGGTGTCTCATCCGCTACCACCTCTGGGGGCCGGGGGAGGAGTCAGGGCATCTCGAGGGCCAAGGCTCCTATTCCCTCTTCCCTTCTGCTTTGCCTGGCCCTGCCTGGCTCTCCACTCTTGTCCTGAATAAAACCCGTTCCAGTCTCTCCTCTCTTCTCCCAACTTCTTTAGCACCTGTTTCCCAGTTCCCAGTCTCTCCGCATAACCTTTCCAACTCCACAACCATGGTTTCTTCTAGCCTTGTTTGGCTCATTTACCCCAGCAGCCCCTTGTCAAGCCCCTGGGTTTCACCGCCTTCCCACCAGGGCTCACCCTGCTCGCACAGCAGCACATCGATGTTGGGAGGGATGCTCAGGGCTCGGTTGGCGATGTGCTTCAGGAGGGTGGTCTTGCCCTTGCTGGGGAATGAGAGCTTTCAGGACCAGGCCACCAGAGACCCGAAGGAGGTCTACCTCTCCTTCCAGCCCTTCTCTTCACGTATCCCCTGCCCCACCTCTCCTCACCCGTTGGGTCCCACCAGCCCGTAACGGCGGCCAGCGACAATGTACAGGTCAGCGTTGACGAATAGCTCCTTGCCATGGGCTGAGATGCTGAACTTCTCCAGCTGCAGTGGTCAGGGAAGGAAGGAGCACATGAGAACTCTCCCTTCCACACAGCAACTGCAGCTTTCTTCCTGCAGGGGAGCCTCCGACAAACCCTGACTGCCAGCATAATACCCCTCCTCTCACCACACCGGTCCCAAGCACTGCCTCTAGCAGGAGTCTCCAAACCCTAAGTCGGTCCAGCCTGCCCCACCCTATTTCCCTCCAAGGGAAGGGAACTATCTTCTCCCTCAAGCTGGCAGAACTTAAGGTATGGAAAACACTTCCAAGCTTTCTTCCCATACCCACTTCCTCGGCTGCCACAGCCACTCAGGCAAAGGGGAGAGAAGTGGCAGGTTCCTGGGCCAACTGGCAGGAGGGGCCCCCTCAGAACCTACCTTGATGTCAGATGCATTTTCTAACATAGCCTGGCGGGAGGATACCTCTGCTTGCGACACAGAGAAGTCATTTTCAGCAGCATTGGCTGCTTTTAATGAAGCCACCTGGCGCTCATACTCCATCTGAGAAGAAAGGGAAAAAATCACTTTTGAGGCCACTGTCTGCCAGTATCCCATCACCATGATACAGCCCTGTGTCATCAGACACCAAGCCAAGACTCACAGAACATAATCCTTTCCTTACTCCAACTGTTTTACTTGAAGGAGCACCCAAAGCTCTCTTCTTGTCCCCTAATTCACCCGTCCCTTACCTGAAGCATTACAATTTAAAAAAAAAATCAAATTCTCCTACCTTTAATCACTAAGAACCCAAGGTCTCACCTGTTTCTTCAGCTTTTTCTTCTCTTTCTTGCTAAGGTGAGCGTAGGGATCATCAGCCTTGGACTCCCCTTCCTCCTCTTCTTCTCCTTCTTCCTCGGAGCCCTGTGAGAACCAGGGATAGTAAAACACAAGGGATCCCTTCCAGAACTCAGACTTCACATCATCTACCCCCAGTTCCACAGCCAGCTGTCTTTCTCCACCCAGAGTCCTGAAATATCTTGGCAGACCCACTCTCATCCTCATACCCACCCTGGTCTCCTTACCACTCTTTATTCTCCATTTCTGCCCCCAGGAAACATACAAGACAGACGAGATCAGTGTGTATGTATGTGTGTGTGTATGACAGGTAACAACGTGAAATGGCCAATACAATGTAACTGAAGGGAGAATAACTGGAACAGGCTCTTTTTCCTCATGTATCAGATGAGTTTCTGTGGCCTAAATGGTAACCTCCAAAAAAAGACTTGGAAGCCCTAATATACATCCACTGAGAAATCCAGCAAAATCACAGAACTGGCAAGTGCTAGCAGTACAGGGGAGCTCAGAGATCACTAGTTCACACAGATGAGATAACTGAGACCCAAGGAGGTAGAAGGATGCACTCAAGGTCACACAGTCGGTGAGTGGCAGAGCCAGAACCCAGACTGTCTGAGGCAAAGGCCCAGGTCCTTTTCTTTCTGGATCAGGAGTTGCAAATTATGGCCCTTGAGCTAAGAATAGTTTTTACATTTTTGAAGGGTTTCTCCAAAAACGTAAAAGAAGAATATGCACCAGAGACGGTATGTAGCCTAAAAAGTCAAAAATATTTACTATGTGGCCATTTATAGAAATTTGCCAACCCCTGCTCTGGACAGTAGGTGCACCCCCAGATCCTGCCCCATCCCAAGGGCCACAGAGCCCGAGTCCCCCAGCCCACCTTCCCCTGACACCAAAATACACACTTGCTCTGCCTTCTTGGCCTTCTCCTTCTCTTGCCCGGGAGGCTCCTTTTCTTTTGTTATTTCCTCTTCATCCTCCTCCTCCTCATTGTCGAGAGCAGCAAATTTATTTCGAGGCTATTCGGGAAAATACAGCAGGTCTGATGAAATGCTCTGATTCCTAAGACCCAGACCCTCCTCCTGCCAGTACTCCCTTACCTTGGCCTTCCCCTTTGACTTCTCCTCCTTTCCCTTTCTGCTCTTGAGCCCTGGCTGTTGTTCCTGAGATACAGCCTGGGGAAGACACAGACACAAATTAATCTGCGAGCCTGTAGCTTAACAGGCATTTCTATGGAGTCTAGGAGTAGTAGTTAATGATACTGAGTCTGCCAGGGAGAAAATGAGACCCAGAGAAACGCTAGCCTCCAGCTGGAGACTAGATAGGGAACAGACGACTAGAGAGTATCAGCACAGCTTAGGGACTGTGAGTTAGTCAAGTGAGCCACGTGAGCGGGCAGCCCTAACACTGGAGGTTTCCTGGAGAGGGTGAATCTCGAGAAGAGTTAATGGACATGGGCTTGGACAAGGCATTCTAGGGAAAAGGGAAGAGACACCATAAAGAACAAAGGCTTCAACACACAGTCAAACTGGATGCCAAGATGTGATCAGGCTGATCTGAAAGGTATATGAAGAGTCCTGTAACCCTGCTGAGGGGTCCAAGTGGAAGAGCAAAGACTTGAAGGCTTTTGTTTTAGATTCTGAGTTTGAAAGCACCACTGTAGATTTCTCAGTGATGAAAAGTATTTTAAAAAGCTGATTTTGACAGTATAAGCAAGGCAGACCTAGGAGAGCTAGTTTAAAAGCAGGAAAAGCAGGCAGGGAATGACCACACGGTGGCTAGAAGGTGCCACCTGGGGTGGGAGTGACCGGCAGAGCCACCGCTTTCACCTTATTGATCCGATTCTTCTCTGGCTTGGCCGGCTTAGGAGGATGTTTTTCTTCCTCCTCCTCTTCCTCACTCTGATCCTGAATCAGGGCTGCAAAAACATTACCACCCTGGAGAATGAAAGGGCCGGAGAAGTCAGCAGGATGGTCAAGGCTGCACGCCTGGAGTCTCTGTCTACCATACAGATAGATGGCTTACCTTGGTTTTCTTCCCTCCTCGGGGAACCGGGGCAGGTACTGAAACAACAAGGGAGAAGATGAGACAGGAAAGAGAATTACATCCAGCTCCTCTATCTAATCCAACTTCAAGAGCAAGGAATGAAGTCTGTGACCCTTCATGACTCAGGGATTCCAGTACCCATTTCCCTCAGGGCATTTACCCTCATCCTCCTCGTCACTGGCCGGCACTGAGAGCTTCTTAAGACGCTCCATGAGCTCCTTCTCTTCTCCATCGTCATCCACATCCTTCTTCCGCCGGCCTTTTCGGGTGTCTCGTTTCTTTTTTTGCTGCTGAACGCAAAACAGAATGAGAGAATGAAGGCCAGGCTGCTGCTGTATTTCTGCCCTGGAGAGAGTTCCCTATCAGCCGAGCCAACTGATGTGGGCTGCGGAGGGGTTGGGGACCTAAGATGCCCGGGTGGATTGGTAGGTCCGGACACTGGTACCTGCTGCTGCTGCTGCTGCTGCTGCTGCTGCTCCTTCTCCTTGAGCACCTTCTCTTCTTCCCCAGCCTGTCTGTCTTCTACTGCCAGCTCTTCAAAGAACTACAAAGGGAGTTAAGATCTGGGTAAACACAGCTCAGAGACCAACCAAGCCCTTTGCTGCCTCACATGAGCCCAGGGACCTGCCACTCCAGACCCACCTTGCTTGCTCTGCTGACACGACCCCTTCCCCTCCCTCAGACCCCCACTGCCTTCATAGGGCCATCTTCTGCTCAGAAACACCCATAGTCACCTCTCACCCCTCATTGCCTTACCGTCTTTTTCGTCTTCTTGTCCTTCTTCCCTTTCTTCACCACTTTGTCTAGAAGGTTAAGCAGATGTTGTGAATGATGATCTGCAAATTCCAAAGCAGCCTGATCTCATCTAACAAGCTCTCAGTGGCCTCCACCCCATTTTACTGTTTTCCTAGCTCAACTATCACTCCCTAGACATTTGCACTGCCCCACAGGACAGACAATGGTGGCTTGGTCTAGGGTGGCAGTGGGAGGCAGAGAAGGAGAATCCAGAGAGTGACGGCAGAGGTGGGCAGTAAGAAGGGGTATTTAGAGACGACTCCTATGTTTTTAGCTGGCAGAATTAGCTGGGCTAGTGGTACCAGTTATTAACTCAGGATATACTGGAAGAGAAGGACCTCTCTCCCCACCGCTACCATCTATGGGGGAGAAAGGTAGAACAAAAATATTACGAATTCACTCTGGGTGTGTCATTTTGGGGACCTGCAGACCATGGAAACAGAGCTTTCTGGTAAGTCGATAAATATCTGGGTCTGTGGCGCACTTGCTCTGCTCACACCTCAAGCACAAATCGCACTGTGTCACACTCAACTGGGTGTCTGTCTTCCATCCTAGAGAGGGACCATTTAGCTCATGTTCCCAGGGAGCAATGTGGGAAGTCGACAGAAGTTTACTGACTGAACAAATTTCAGCTTCTCCATTCTGTCCACCCCTGTTTCCCTGAAGAAGGGACCATATCTAACTCCCTCTCCCACACACATTTGACTGGGAGGCAGCCAGCAGCCTTGTGATTTCTCATCATGCCCAAGCCGATCCACTATCACATTCACCTCCCAAACCATCCCACCCATCCACTGCTATCCAATTCTATCCAAAAGCACTCCTGTGATCATTTCCCCCCTCAAAATCGCCAAAACAAAGGCCTTCTGCTATCTACCACATTAAGTATTCTCAGACCAGAATCCCATGTAGTCCACAGTAATCATTTATTCAGACACCGAGCATCTACAATGCCTAAAACTGGAGATAACAAATGAAAATCCCTATAATTCAGGGCCTCACAGACTAAAAGGGCCCATCTTATCTTTTCTGCTGTACCTCTGTTTCCTTACTCATACCTGTGTTCTGGACACTGGTCTTTCCCTGCTCCTTGGTTAACTCTCAGGTATGCTTACACCTGTCTTTGCTTAATCTGCATCCTCCATCCTGAACACATTTCAAAATCTGGTCCCTGTATTGGGTGACTAGCATGATGGAACTGAAAAGACGTGCAGCAGAAATAATGAAAGGCTTTATGCACTATTACAAGGAGCCTAAGTCTAAAACCATTAAGAGGGAGAATCCACTGTAGTACATAAAAAGGAATGACATGGTCAGCTCACCCTGACAACACTGAGAAGTGACTCAGACACTAATTTCTCTCCAAAGACTAAGGCAACCACACCACCTGACCAAAGGAAGAGAAGCCTGTGTACAGGTTCCAGTGTAAGAGAGGATTATCACCAAGGAACAGGAAAAGAGTAAGTGTGGCTAAAGTATCCTCCACTTCTCCTCCTCTAATGACTCCTCCTTTCAGTATATCACTTAAGCAGCTCCTAAGTTCAAAACCAAATAAAGCATTTTCCTCAACCTTACAATCTCCGCCCTGACACTTACGTACCTTCTCATCCTTTTAAGTCTCCTCTCCTGCTGTTACTTAACATCAGGGATCCTGCTGCTGCTGATCTGCCTCCAGTTTCGGAGAAGAGGCTGCTTGCCTTTCTCAGTCTTATCTCAGCCTCCTTTCTCACCTTTCTTCCATTAACTGTTGAGGTTCTTTGGGGTTCCCACCCTCTACCTCTTTTTGCTTCAATCCGCTTACACTTGCCCTGTATTCAGCACCTCAACTACACTCACCCGCGTCTTTACTTCTAGTCTAGAGCTCTCTCCACAAGCACCGAACTCTCCTTGCCATCTCCTCTTAGAAATTCCCCAGAAATCTCCAACTCAGCATTCAAAAGCTGATCTTATCTCTTCCCGCTCCCCGCTCTACAGCCTACTACTGCTTTCAACTAACAGCACTGAGTTGAGTGTCATCCTTAATTCCTCTCCCTTTATGTAGTTCTAGTCAATGCCACTTCCTTCATAACTCTGAGTCTTCACTGCCTTCGCTTACTCTCTTACCATTCTCACCTGGATCATTACCAGAGCCTCCTAAATGGTCTCCCTACCTAATCATTTCTTATACACTTCAATGGGTCCTCTTTCTTACCGTCTTTAGGATTAAGCTCCTTGGAATAGTGTATAAAGACTTTCATCATCTGTCTCCTGCACATCTTTCAAACACCATCACACCAGTCACAAAATACGGGGAACCAGCCAGGCTCAACTACATCTCCACTTCTGCACTAACTGCATCCTCTGCTTGCTTGGAATATTCTTCCCCTTGCTAACTCATACTGATCCTTCAAGAATGAACTCAGCTATCACAAATTCCTGGGAGGCTTGGATGACACCCCCACCCTATCCGAGCAGATGTTGCTCCTCTCTTCTCCAGTTCCTTGACATTCTCAAGCACATTCATTGCACTCGGTCAGCCTCCAATTAGTGCTCTGTCCCCTCCACTAGACCTGCCCTTTCTAGATAAGCAAGGCTTATCTTTCATCTCTAAGTTTCCAGTTCTTCTGCACAGTACCGGGTATACAGTGGGCATCCAATATATGTAAAATTAGTCACTGTATACCTGCTATGCTTATTTGTGTCCATTTTATCTCCCTCTTGAAGTACCTTCAAGTCTGGGAGGATGTCTTCATAGTTTTTCCTTCTCTTCCTAAAGCACCATAGATACACTGCACAGTCAAAAACAGGTGTTTACTGGGGTGGGGGTAGAGCCCTTCATAGTTTTTCCTTCTCTTCCTAAAGCACCATAGATACACTGCACAGTCAAAAACAGGTGTTTACTGGGGTGGGGGTAGAGCCCAGTGGTAGAGCGTGTGCTAAGCATGCGCGAGGTCCTAGGTTCAAACCACGGTACCTCCAAAAAAACAACTCCATTGCTCCCTATCTCTCCTTCCGTACCATATGCTCTTCCTAGACTCTTGCCCAGGCTCACTGAAGCTCGTGCGCGACACCCCGGCACCTTTCCTTTCGGCCGCACCTCAAAAGCACTCCGGCCAGGGAAAACTCGTCCCAGTCCTTGGCACGCATGCGCAGTAGCCCCCGCACGGCCGGGTCAGTCTCGCACCCCGTGACTCTCTCCTAAACACGCGGACACTTCCATCTCTTCTTTTTCGTCTCTTCTTCCCTTCCTGCCTACCAGCCTCACCTGTCGGGGTCGTGCTCTCTCCGTCCCCGATCCACTCGGGCTCCGGCGGCTGTTGTTTGGGCGCCTTCGGCATCGCGGTGGCAGTTACTGCAACTCAAGCTGCGCCGGGTGCTATTTCCGCTTCCGGCAGCGTGGGGCCCGGAACCAGGCGGGCTCTAGACGCAGTTGACCCCGCCCCCAGGCGGTGCACGTGGGCGCCGCACCGTCACCTTGGGGGCGTGCCTGCTGCCAGTGGGGGCGTGGCCTTCAATGAAGGGGCGTGACCGGAGTCCGCCTAGTCCGGTCGCATCAGCAGAGTTTATGAGGATCTGAGAACTCCGCGATGCCGTGACTAAGTACTGAACGTAGTAATTTCCGACTAGTTCGAAAGGGTGAAGGCATCCTTTTTTTTTTTCAAGCTGAACGCTACCTTCTGCCTGCCCCTTACGTCTGGTTAGCGACAGAAAGGCGGAGTCCACCAACTCAGGAAGAGGCCTTGTCGGTTTAGTGTTCAGATGTGTCACAAAACCCTGAGGTGTAGAGTTGAAAACGAGGAGGAACTCTAGCCCAACAGAAATCACGATGCGGTGGACCTTGGGTTCACTCCCCCCTTTTTTTGATAACAGCTATTCTGAAGTATAATTGAGATATGATAAACTGCACAAATAGGCAATAAACTTCCAAGTGTACACTTTGATAAGTTTTGACATGTATACAGCCATTAAATCACCAACACAATCAAGATTTGGGTTCACTTCTAACTCTACCACTGAATAGGTGTGTAAGCAAGGCGTTCCCGATAGCCTTGTTATCTGCCATTCTCTCCTTAAACTACTAGTCTATGCTTTTGTCCCTACCATTGCCTGAATCCACTCTTGCCAAGGTTAACAGTTCGGGGCCAGTTCTCTGTCCTTATCCTACTCACTCCCCAGCAGCATTTGACTGATGGTCACTCCCTCCCCTTTTTGCTTTCTTCAAGGGCACAGTTCTCTCCAGGTTTGCTTTCCATCTCATTGTCTGCTCCCTCTCTCTCCTTTCCTGACTTCTCCCCCTTGAAGTCTAAATGCTCAAGTGCCTCCAGCCTCAATCTTTGACACTCTTCTTTGTCTCATGCCTTTAAATACCATCCATAACTGGTGAAGATTCCCAAATGTCTCTTATTGATCCCAACTTCTGCCCTAAACTCCAGGCTCATGAATCCAACTGTTTACCCGGTATCCTTTCCGAGATCTCTAGTTGAACTTTCTGATCTCATCTCCTACTGGCTAGACACACTGGCCTTCTATTTTTACTTCAACCTCTCAAACTTATTCCTGCCTCAAGGCCTTTGCCCTTGTTGTTCCCTATGCCTGGAATGCACTTCCTCCAGATATTCATATGATAGCCTCTTCATTTAATTTCTGCCTTTATTCACATTACCTCCTCAAAGCCCTATCTGTTGTAGTAATGACCTGTTTTCTTCCTTCTGTCACTCTCTAGCCTCTTCCCTCACTGTTTTTCTTCACAGCATTTATGTCTTAAGATTATATTACTGGGTAATAGAGCCCAGTGGTAGAGCTCATTTATTGCCTATTATCCCCAATAGACTGAAGCACTATATGGGCCCGAATTTGGTCTTTTTCACTGATACATCCCAGGGCCTGGCCCAGAATAGGCACTGAGTATTCACTGGATGAATGTAAGGCTTAAATAAGACAGTGAATGGGAAGAACTTAGCATGGTACCCGGCATGGAGCTAGCAACCAGAATATGCCACACTCTAAAGATCTCTCCCTGCCTCTCTAGCCATCCCGCCTTAGTCTCCTTGTCAGGCTCATCCTTGTCTTTCTTCCTTTGGCCATTAAATATCAGCTTTCCTCTAGGCTAATTCTTAGGCCCTCTTGTCTTCCCATTTGACACTCTCCTCAGGTGATTTCAGCTACAGACTCCTTGGCGAGGTCTATCCTAACCACATCTTACGTAGCCCCCAACAATTATCCTCTCTCTAGTGCCCCATTATGTTCTTTATATCACTAATCACAACCTGTGATTATTCATTTGCTTACCTTTGAGGAAGAACAGCCCCTGACAACTGGGAACTGGCCTGACACTAACAGTTAGGCCTTGGTGTTGCTAAGAGCTGACCTGGCCCTCACATCAAGGCTGTGATGTTCTCACATTGAACATAACCTCACAGAACACCAATGTCAGACAAGGCCAATCTGTGACTGTGATGAGGTTAAGACAAATTCTATAACCTTGTCAAAGCGCAGACAAAAAACAAGGTCACTAAACAAAACATAAATGCTAAATAGGTCCCTCTCAGCCAAAATGAGTCCTGGCTGCTTTTTTGCCATGTTTCATTCCTCCTCTCTGGATGAGACTCCGTATCTACAGCTGCCACATTTTCGGATTCAACTAACCTAGGATTGAAATGCTAGGGGAAAAAATATATCCAGAAAATTCCGAAATGCAAAACTTAAATTTGCTGCAGACCAGCAACTATTTACCTTGCATCTACATTGTATTTATAACTAGTTACATAGCATTTACATTGTATTCAGTATTATAGGAGAGAACGTGTGTGTGGGTTATCTGCAGATACTATGCCATTTTATATACGAGACTTGAGCATCTTTGGATTTTGGCATATGAGGGAGTTCCAAAGGATGATAGATACCAAAGGATGACTATTAAAACGTACATAGAAATGCACCCCCTGCCTGTAAGCACCCAATATAGACCAACTCCCCACTTCCTTGAATCTTCCCCCAAATCACCTAACACAAACCCTAATCTTGTCATCCCTCCCTCTTAATGAGATCTCTGCAGGTTATAAACCCAGATTCCCCATTTCCCTGAATCTTCCCCCAAATCACCTAACATAAACCCCTAATCCTATCATTCCTAATCCTCTCTTAATGAGATCTCTGCAGGTGACAGACCCACCTTTGTTTAACTATAGATGGTTCCTGTGTGGTCTCTGGCTGGAGGGCATTGACACATTTACTGTCTTATTCTCTTATTGCATGCCCAAGGTTTAGCAGGGAGGTGCTGGTTGAGGATTTCATCCTACCCTAATGTTTTTACACATTGGCACTGAAAAGCCAATTGTTTGCTTCACACGTGGCTGCCTGATAAAGAGTACTTTTCAAGCCTCACTGGCAGCTAGGTATTGGCCACAGGACTAAGTTATGGCCAGTAACATGTTGATGAGCTGTAGGTTAGTTTGGTAATTTCCTCTGCCCTTCCTTCATCCTGAGGCTTGGAGGATAAATAAACAAGCTAGAGCTTCACTTCAGACTGTGACTAGGAGGGTCTGACCCCAAGAATCATGGAGCTGAGGGCTGGGGGGAGGAGGCATTCTGAATACCTGAGGACCTTGTGGTGGCATGATTGTCACACAAGTGTTGTATGACCTCTTGACTTGAATAATAAACATCTATCTTGCTTTAAGACTTATTTTGGTTTCTGTTACAACTGAACTTAAAGCTGATATAAACAGGGGCACAGTAGGTGTTTAGTATTTAGAGTGAATGAATATATCCATGCTCATGGCTTCAACCACTACCTACATGCAGATAACTCAGCTTTATGTCTCCAGTTTTTTTATTTTTAATGTAACAATTCTGTAGGGAGTTCATGTTTGTTCTGGGGGGAGGTAATTCGATTTATTTAATGGAGGTACTGGGAATTGAACCCAGGACCTCATGCATGCTAAGCATGCACTCTACCACTGAGCTATATCCTCCCCTGTCTCCAGTTTGATCTGAGTACCAAGCCTGTATACCCAACTACTTAATTGCTCTCCTTGAATGTCTTAAAAGGCAGCTCAGACTCAACCATTCCAAAACAATTAGAGGCATTCTGTTTTCTCCTAATACCTTTCTGTTTAAATGGGTACTTGGTTATGCAAGCCAGAATGAACCAGAGAAACCTAAAATACTTTCATTTTGATCCCTTATTTCCAAATGTCCACTTTTCTCCCCACTCTGCTACCCAAGACACCACCAGCACGACTCATTCAGGCTACTCAAGTAACCTTCTAACTGCCACTTCCAAAAGACCCTTACATCCTGCAAGGCCGAGAGGTCAAGGTCCTCTTCCTCCTGCCTCACCTCCCACTCTTCCCACGTCCTCTTAACACCTCTGCCTGGACGATGCTCTCCCACCTCACCTCCTGCTTGTCCTCAGTTTGTCCCCATTGCCATCTTCCCAGACTGCCTTTATTACATACTCTCCCACCAGGTCTTGCTTCTTCATTGCACTTTGGACAAGTGCTTCACATGAAGTTGTGATTTCTTGATGAACATGCCTCCCACTGTAGATCTTAAATTCACTGGTTTTGGCTCTGTTATCTCTGGTGCCTGGCATACTGCCTGGCCAACTGGCGCTCTACAAATATCTGTCGACATATTGCTTTGTTGTTAACACTCCATAAACATCAAACCATAAACACGGGTAAAATGTTTAAAAATTACTCCATGGATACCTGGCCTTGCCTTTCTCCAACAAAACTTCACCCTTGAACGTAATGCAGCCTGCTCCAGTTGATGCCCATAGGATAATGGGACCCTATGGGTTCCTTCAGACTGGAAGAAACTTCTATCACCACTGCATACGAACTCAATGAAGAATAAACTGACTCCAAGCACAGCCTCATCTGCATTTCCAGAGATGACTGGAACACAGGGATTAAAGAAAATGTTTGTTTCCACTGTGTTTATTACTAATGTAAAAAATGTTAAAAAAAAATTCATTCTCAGTTCTCCGACAGCTCTCACCCCTCCCTCTTGCCCACACAACTCCTGACCCATTTCCTCAGGGACAGTTCAAAACTGAGCCTGTTCACTGCCGTTTTCACAGAAAACAACCAGTGCCAGGGATGCAGGGGAAGAAGGTTGGAAGAGGGCGACAGTACTATCCAAGTTCCACCCACAGGTAGGCCAGGTGGAGATTCACAGAATTCAAACGAAAGGGCTGGTGGCCTCACAATGAAGTAGTTTAACTAAAACGGGCTGGAGAGGAGACAGGGTAGGCCCATCTGAGGCTTTGGAGGACATCTCTCGGGCCTGTGTCAAACCCAGAGAAACCGACACCAGGAGAGGAACGAGCAGGACCAGGGAGGCAGTCTTGTGTGAAGTTTCACAATTCTCCCATGTTGGGAGGTGGGGAAGTCTAGAGGGCACCGACGGCCCCACTTGTTTTGGCAGAAAAACTTACTCTAGTGTTGGGAAGTCACAAAAATGCCACAGACACCGAGAAAGGCTACGGGGGATGCACAGTTTCACAAAGCACAGTGATCACAGACCATAGCGGTGGGGATCATGCTACTGACGCAGAAACTACGAAATCCAGAAGCAGGGAGAGTGGCCTCTCGGGGAGTAACTCTGGACAAGCCATTCACACTTGACTCCAGGTCAGATGACCTGGTGAGTGTCACGGAGCAGCTGACAACATTGCGGGTAGGGGCTGTCACGTAAAAAGAACTTCAAACAAGTAGCTAGAAGAAGGGATTGGCAGGAAACTGCTCCAGGGCTCTCAGGAATCCAGGGCAATCCCGGGGGCTGGGCAGACAGATGCACAAGAAACAGCACCAAAGAGGTTTCCTGTTCCGCAGTCAGTCGGCGAGGGGGAAAAGGATCCAGGAGGCAGTTGAATGGAACGAAGATGGGGTCCTGAAGACGAGTCTCTGGAAGCGGGATCAGAAGAGTGCACACCGCGCACCAGCGATGGAACAACTCTGGACCCCAAGTTGGGGAGGTGGCGATGGGGGTGGGCGTCACTGACTGAGGGTAGTGAGTGGAACCACCTCACAGTAGCCATCTCAGGGCCCCAGGGAAGTGTATGGCCGCTAGGTCAGAGGGCTCCTTCCAGCCTGGATGGGAAGGCACAATCTCACAGAGGAGGTCCATTGACGCCTGGGTGGTAGAAGGCACAGAGGTCCTCGTATCGACAGTGGCCCTTTTTGGCAAAGTGTCGGCAGACAGGGCGGTCGGATTTGTCTGTGAACAAGTGAAAATTAGGCAATTTAAAATGCTACTGAGAAGAAAAAAATTGTGACAAAAAGCAGAGAAGACAGATTTCCTACTCATTACCATTTCCAGATATTATGGAATGGTAGTCTTTCTCCTGGGAGAAAAAACATTCAGGGCTACTCCTACTTCAAAAAGACAAAGGACAGCCCAGAGGAGAAGAGTCACAGGCATCCTGGGCACTGGGTCACTCTGGGAGTGATGGCTAGTAAATGTGTGCAGGCATAAAGAAAATGGACCTCACCTTCCATAACCTGGGGTCCATCCTTGGGTGGGCAGGTATTCTTGATAAGAGACCAGCTTTTGAGCCTTCGAGGGTTTCTCTGCTCTTTGTGAAAGCCTCCCCTGGAGGGACCTCCATGGCCTGGTCCAGGAAAAGGAGGTTCAGCATTGACTCCCCACCAACCACGACCGTATGGGCCAGACCTGGGGCCTAGGCCTCCCCGAATTGGACCTCTGCCCCGGGGAGGAGGTGGGAGACTCAGCAGCGGTGGGATTATTGGTCCCCTTGATCCCGGAGGACCTCTGTGAAGAGCTGGAAAGGGAGAGAGAGAGAGAAAGAGAGAGAGGAACACGGAAAAGTGATCAATGACCAGCTAAACTCAGATAATGAAGCCTTCATATTTTTTTAAAAACTTTTTATTGAAGTACAACATACATACAAAAAGATACACAATTTTAAGTGCACAACTCAATTATCACCAAAGTAAACACACCTGAGTGTCCACTAACACAGGCTGGAGAAAGAACAGAGCCTTATTAACACTTTAGAAGCCCCTACCCTCTTGCGGCCCTCCTTCCCTACCATCCCACCTTCTTCCCCAAAAGAAACAAGTATCCTGACTTCTAGCACCATAGGTTAGTTTTTGCCTGTTTTTGAACTCTGCATAAATGGAATCATACAGTGTGCATTCTTCCTGCGTCTGGTTCCTTTCACTCAACATCGTGTTTATGAAATTCACCCAGGTCACCTGTAGCAGGAGTTCCTTCATTTTCATTGCAGTGTAGTATCCTATTGCGTGTACACACAACTTATTTATCCATTCTACTGATGGTGCACATGTGGGTGGATTCCAGTGTGGGGCTATAATGAAAAATGCTGCTATGAACATCTTTATACATGTTTTTGTTACACTCACATATGCATTTCTGTTGAGTGTATACACAGTAAAGGGAGTACTGGGTCCTTGAGTATGTGTATGCTCAAGTTTAAGAAAGTCAAACCTTTTTTTCCCCCAAAGTGGTGGTTGTACCAATTCATGCTCCCACGAGCAGTTGTTCCATACAACTGGTAGTTCCTTGACAACACTTGGTAATGTTGATCTTTTTCATTTTTGTCATTCTGGCGTGAAAAGTGTTTTTATTTTTTTAATTGTGGTTAAAACACATAATGAAAAATTTGCCACCTTAACTATTTTGAAGTGTACATCTCCATAGCATTAAGTAGATTCACATGGTTGGGAAACACATCTCCAGAACTTTTTCATCTTGCAAAACTGGAAGTTTATAGCTACTAAACAACTCACTTTTCCCCTCTTCACCCAGCCCCTGGCAGCCACCATTGTACTTCCTGCTTCTATGATTTTAACTACTTTAGATACCTCACATCAGTGAAACCATACAGTACTTGCCTTTTTGTGACTGGCTCATTTCACTTAGCATAATGGCCTCAAGGTTCATCTGTGCTGTAGCACATGACAGGACTTTCTTCCTTTTTGGGGGCTGACTCATATTCCATTGTAGGATTATATCACATTTTGTTACCCACTCATCCATCAATGGACATTTGGTTGGCCTCCATCTCTATGGTGAGTAGTGCTGCTAAGAACATGGGTGTGCAAATCCCTCTTCAAGATTCTGCTTT